GTGTAATATGCCCGCATTTTTTTAGCATTTTCGGTACAATCCGCGAACCCAGCACTTTGGGCTCGTGATGCAGCATTTTGGGGGAAACGGAGCACTTCACCGTTGTGTATCAAAATTGAGAGAAGAAAAACTTCCCAAACAAGAACGTCACTTCCGCATTCCGTGGGTTAGCTTCTTGTTGAGTAGTTAATGAATTGTTTACCATGGCAGCCTAGAGCAAGTCTCTTATTGAGTATTTTCTGACTCCCTGGTTTTGACGGCGTGTGCTGAGGATGACAAAAAAGTGAGCATTTTCCGAGCATTTTCGGCAATTTTTGGGAGCATTTTCGGCAAGGTTTACGAGAATTTCCCAAAAGCATTTTCGGCAAAGTTTCGGGCATATTACACCGGGGCCTACTGCCATGCCAGTACACCAGTCACCTGGTCACCGTGCCTGCAGGGTACAACTTACTAGCCTGTTTGACCTTTTTTGGGTGCAGTCCTGTCACTCGAGTTGAACTCGAGTTGAACCTTGGTGTGAAAGTTGTCGCCTGCTGGCGCTGGCGGTGGCCAGGTGATTTGGGCAACCAGGAGCACGTGACCGCTTCTTCAACCATGTTCGATTGGGAATAAAGGAGGAACGCTGCATCGCAGCCTTTTCGGACCAAAACCAGTCGACTCAGCGTCCAAAAGACTACAATATATGGGCCAATCGCGGTCATCCGTGCTTTTATAAGAACGGAATGGCGCTTTTAGTGAGATTTTGCATACAAATCCCCATCTAGTAGGGCGCAGTCACCCAGTTTCGGTGGAAGTGCGCGAGTTCGATTGGGATTCAAGTAGGAAGGGAGCGTCGCAGCTTCCTCGGACCAAGACCATTCGACTCAGCACCCAGAAGACTACAACTGGTGAAAATTTGATTTTAGGGTATACTTCCCCTAAAAAGTGCACATGTTGATCACATGCGACCAGCGCGCTGCAGCGCATAAATGCATGTGTGTACTGCTTACCCACGGCTGCATGGCCAGCGCCCTGGGGCCGCTAGACGTGCGACCGGATATCCTTGCTGGATTCTTGTCTATCCTTCTTTCTTCTCTTTTTTCCTTTCTTTTCTTTTCTTTTCTTGCCATGGTTGGCTATCACCCCTCACTTTGATTGCCAATTGGTCATGACCACGAGTTGAGTGAAAAAAAATCACGGTTCGCGTGAGACTCGGCCAAAGGCCCAGTTTTCCGCATCCGCAGGAACGCCACCACCCTCTTGGATCAAGGCGCAGATGCAGCTTAGGCCCCGGTCACACATGCACTTTTTAAGCGGTGGGCGGTGAGTAGATCAGACCCACCACAAAGTGGTCAAAGACCGAAATCCCATTCACTGCATCCATGTTTCCCTCGTGCCAGGCCACGAGTTCCTGTGGGTCGCAGCACGGTTGGAAAAATTCCTTCCGCTTCCAAGCAGGACTTGAACCTGGTACCCTCTGTTTCTCAATCATGCCCCGGATTCATGGTCTTAGACCATCCCACTATGCCTGCCTAGTGAGTGAAATAAATAAATAAATAAATAAAGTGTTGAAGAAAGACTCAAAGTAACTTGCTGGATGAACAACTCGCTGGTGCCGGAAAACTTGGCCCCCAACGATGGTGCTTGGTGCATCATCAAGCATAATGACATGGCCCAGTATCTGCAAAAATGGACCTTTCGCCTCATTAGTTTCTCCTCGTTGAGTATTTCCCCCCAGCGGAGTTGTACTAAATCAGAAGGGCCCTACGAGGATTTCCAGATGTCAGAAAGTACTTTCACCAGCAGAGATCTCCTTTGGCGGAGCGCCTAAATCAAGTTAAATTTTTCGTCGCTAAATAGGAATTGGGCGTCGACAGAAACATCTTGTGAGGACTGTCGGCGTTCTCTACCAGGCGCATATTCCTACCTAGGAAGTCCAATGACTTCTGGCAGAGATGGACGGCAGTTGGCCATCGTGAGCGAACGCTCCTACTACACCTGTAGGTCCAGTGTAGGACGATCAAAAGCTTTCATTGTCGCAATGAACCAATTTTTTTGTTTGGATGTGCACATGCACAGCAAAGCAAGAGTATTTTTGCCTTGCCAGAAAAGGACTTTTTCTGCAAAAAATAATTAATTATTTTCACCCGAAGGTCGATTCTCGCGAGACATAGCATACGTCATTGTCTTGTACTTGTAGAAGCATGATCATGACATGAGTGCTCCTGCATGCCAGCTACACTTTGTTGCACTTGGTCACCATGGTCACCCGAGGCGTCTCACATCATCATGATTCATGACACGCCGACAGTCGAGCTGAATGACTCTTTCTTTTCCAAGTCATCACAATTTCGCATCGGTGCAGTGGTCTTCACGGGCACGTTTCGGTACTTGCCTGCATGTCCACCCGGTCGGACGGTAAATAGCGAACAAGGCAGGTCGGTACTGGGCCACTGGTGTGAAGAGATAAGATACGTCGGACGACTTGACAATTTTCAGCTTCAGGAATGGCCTCTCTTTTTCGAGACACATTTCAGGTTTGTTCAGCATCATCATTATCACAATCGTTCTGATTTTGTAGCCACAGTTTATCTGGGAGCGCCCGTTACCGTGCAGTCTGACTGTAGCCATGACCGTAGTAGTTGCACATGGCGGCGATGCTAATACTTGACGCGTCAGTGTGTGATTGTACAAGTGTGCCTGGCCGACCGTTGTACCTACGCCATTGTTTGCAAACCTTTTTTTTAGGCTGGCCCCCATCTTTCTCTGTACGAAGCGAAGAGCAGCTTGAAAGGCGCCGACTCCAAGACTCGGTGGCACATCGATGGGCCCAAGAGATGTACTAAACTAGTAAGTAGAAAGCACGGTCGTTGTCCTTGCTATCCTTGATACCGTAGGACCTTGCATGAGTAACTACAACCGTAGTTAGAGCATATCTACATGACATTTCTGCCCATGCGCAGGGATAAACCCATTTGCTAACCAGGTTCAAACCAAAGATTTTTGGCAGTTGTGTTACTCAATCTGCGGACAGAACTGTTTCGTCCTTTGTGGACTCATCAGCTCAGCACAGAGAAAATGAGGCCGAACTTGGTAGCAACGAAAAATGAATTTTCCAAAGCCAGATTTAGGGGCCGTCCGTAAATACATGTATTTACTTACAGGCGTCTATTGGGCATTTGTGGGTGGGTGGGTTCGCCTGCAAGGCATCCCTAAAAAAAATACATTTCGGAGTGCATGCATACCGTAATTATCGTACCATGCGTGTACAATAGCACTGCTACAGCTAGTACAGGTAGTATATAGGCCTTGAGATCCACTACACTGCACTGCACGCGTCACGGCAGAGTAGACATGTACACAATGCTCTGTACTCCCAGAAACATGCACTTGTATCATATGTGCATAGTATGGTGTTATTATGAGTGGTATTATCTGCATTTTGTGGTGTGTTTCTGGGGGTAGATGGGTGGGTTGAGAAAGAAACTCCTGTTAGAGGTCTCTAAGTTAATACATGTGTTTACAGACGGCCCCTTAGGAAATTGCGTTCACTTACGAAAGCAGTGAAAATGGACCTGTTCCGTTTCTTGACGTTCACTTCGAGGTTACCCCTGACGGCACCATTACACACCGCCTGTACAGGAAGCCTAGTGACAGCGGTGTCAACATGGACTTTCATTCCCAAGTGCCTCGCTCCGTCAAGTATGTGGTCGGTAAGCAGCACTTCGTCCGAACTCGAAAGAATTCATCCTCACCGGAACAAGACCGTGAGTCTCGGTATGACGAAGAAACTGCTGCGAACCAACAACTATCCTGAGGCAATCATGGAAGAGATTGCTCCGAAGCGTTGCCACACTGCCCAACGACGTGAGCCATATATGAAAAAATATGCCGCTATACTGACGGTACCCTTTCGCTCAGAAGACATCCAGCGGAAAACGAAGCATTTAGTCGAGCGCTCGGGGTTCGCAGTCAATGTCGTGTCTGAACACACTCCCAACCTCAAAGATGCCCTCGTGAAGTCAGCACTGAATCCAAAGAAGTGCAGCGTGACACAAGAACGAGAGAGGCGCCGAGAGCAGCGGAGGCGAGGAAGACCGCTCAACCCTTGCATCTCATGCTCGTCTGGTTTGCCGAGCTGCCGAGCCGAGCTTACGTCCTGAAATTTGGGGTAGACCACCGCCATAGTCGGCTATAGCCCTTGGCAGATTATGCCGGCATAATATTTGGCATAATCTTGGGATTTCGTCAAAAAAATTGCTCCGGCATAATATACGGATTCTAACGTGTAAGGTCGGCATAATCTTTCGGTTTAGACAAAAATTATGCTTAGGGGCATAATACAGCTTTTTCTGAAAGCCTGCAGATGTTTTTTTTAAATACCCCAGTTATGACTCCTTGTCACAGCCCTTGGCGGATTATGCCGGCATAATATTTGGCATAATCTTGGGATTTCGTCAAAAAATTATGCTCCGGCATAATATACGGATTCTAACGTGTAAGGTCGGCATAATCTTTCAGTTTAGACAAAAATTATGTTTAGGGGCATGGCCGTGTGTGTATGCGTGGTTTCTCAATCCTCTATGTACAGCGTGAATACATAGTGGAACCGAGCATAATTCAGCATAATTCAGCATATTTGTTGGCATAATTGTGGCATAATCAAAAGCATAATTTGACGATTGGCCGAGCATAGTCCGCCAATGGCTAGTCGGCTACATGTCGCCAAGCACCAACAAGTGGTTTTGAAGAAAGTTGTCCACTAAAAATCACCTGGGGAAATGATCAAATTTTGAACTCTCCAACGGCCATGCACTAGCCGAATCCAACCGAAGGAAGCAGTGAGTCGGGGAGCGATGAGGAGAGTGGTCGTGAGAGCGTTGGTGTTGTGAATAGTTTTTGTAGTAGAGAGTCTTCAGTGTACTATCATCTGCTAGCTAGTCCTGCGATTGCTCGATATTAAGAAGGCCTATCTCCAAGTGCACCTGGCCTCCGAGCTGCAGCGCTACCAGACGGTCGTCTGGCAGGGAAAGGCCTACGTGATGACGCGCATGGGTTTCGGGTTGAGTGTCGCCCCGAAATTTATGGATATTATCGTCCGCTGGGTGACGCGAGACTTTCCATCGGTTGATAATTACGTTGACGATGTGAAAACGCCTGCCAGCGAGGTCGACGCCGTAGCTGCAAGGATGCTCGAGTATGGCCTCCCAACAAAGCAGGCCGAGCCGTTTGCCTCATCCAGAGTCCTCGGCCTGCAGCTGCAGAAGGATGAGGACCATCAGGTCCAGTGGTCGCGCCGTGGCGACATAAACCTGAAGTTACCTCGACCGGCAACGAAACGTGACATCTTCAGCTGGTGCGGTCATCTGACCGGGCACGTACCCGTGTGCGGTTGGTTGCGCCCTGCTTGGAGGCAAGGTTTGCTGGTGATGGCGACCCGGCACGAGGCATGTGGTGCGCGGGCCGCGACGAGTCGGCCGGATGCACGGTGTGGGCCGACGCCTCCGATGTCGGCATCGGCGTTGCGTTCGAGATGGATGGTGCGATCCTCGAGGATTGCTCCTGGCTGCGCCCGTTCGGCGACAAGCGCCACATCAACATCGTCGAGCTGGAGGCTGCCATTCGAGGACTTTCACTCGCAGTCCACTGGCAGGCCAAGCACGTCCGCCTCATGACGGACTCGAAGACCGCTGAGTTCTGGCTCCGTGAAGTCATCGGCAACGTCCGCCGCACGAAGACCAAGGGCCTGCACGAGGTCCTTGTCCAGCGTCGTCTGCAGATCGTGGCAGACCTCATTGTCACAGCAGGTCTGTCTGTCTCCGTCGAGTGGGTGCCGACGGTCAAGAATCGGGCCGACGCTCTCACCCGCGTGCCTGTCGAATGGGTCAAGCGCTGCAAGCTGCTGAAAGGTGACGGCGCCGGTGGTGATGACGAATGTGGTGACGGCGACGTGAACATCGCAGCTGCTGCAGCTAGCGTCTCCGGCCCCGCCCCGACGGAGCGCATCGTCGAAGCACAGCGCACTGACGACGAGATCCAGACGCTGACCTCGCAGCTCCAGCAGGATATTCCCGTCCTGGATCGGTTCTCGGCCGTTCGCGCACAGTTGGTGATTGTCGACGGCGTGCTGGTCAGGAATGTGAAGCTGCCGCTCGAGGGCACTGTCCAAGTGCCGGTGGTGCCACAGCCGCTAGTCGCTGATGTCGTCCGCTGCGCCCACGAGGTCTCCGGCCATGGATGCTGGGAGACCATGTACAGGATGATCCGCAGCCGCTGCTACTTCCCCGGCATCGCTGCTGCCTGCTGCGAGTTCATAGCACAGTGTACGAGATGCAAGGCTGCTAACCCACGGAAGGGCCCGCCAGTGTCGCCGACTCGCGCCGACATTCCTGGCCGTCCCTGGAGCGAGGTCATCATCGACACCCTGGAGCTCGGCACTGACCGCAGTGGCCGGTATTCGTGCGTACTAGTTTGTGTCGGCCCGTTCACGAAGTGGGTGGAAGTATGCCCACTCCGTCGCCACGATGCTGCCAATGTAGCCGCTGCCTTCACCAATCTGTGCATGCGGTGGGGGTGCCCCTGACATCGTCCGCATGGACAATGGCACAGAGTTCTGCAACGCCGTTGTGGAGTCGCTGTGCCGGTTGCTGGAAGTCTGCGTTCGCACCGGAGCCGATCGCCATCCGCAGTCGCAGGGCAGTGCCGAGCGGTTTAACCGCACGTTGCTGGCGAGCCGATCTCGACGTCCTGTTGTTTCACTACCGGAACAGGCCACACAGCGTCACAACGATCTCACCGATGATGGCCATGGTCGGCTGGCCTCGCCACATCATTGTCGAAGATACCGAGGACGCCTGCGCGCTCAGCCAGTGGGCAACCTGGTTGTCTGCGAGGGTCGCACGTGTGCGCGACGTCATCGACGAGCAGTTGTCGACCCGCGACTTCGTTGGTCTACCTGATGGCCCGTGTCCGTATGCTGTCGGCGACCGTGTTGTGCTGCGACGCCCCGCCAGAAGTCAGAAGCGTCTGCCGCCTTTCGAGCCAGGATGGCTTGTCGCCGACATTGTTGCGCCATCCACAGTCGCCATTGTCCGAGCGGATGACCCACGACGGCGGAAGGTCGTCAACGTCGAGCTCCTGAAGGCCGATCCAGTTGGCGTGGACGACGTCGTCGAGCCGCAAGATCTGGTGCCTGATGGCACTGATGCCGACGATGCCGCTGAGTTAGACCTGGGCTGGGGTCCTCCAGCGCCAGTGGATGATGCTCGTCCGGCTGAGTATGGTCTCCGCGCCCGAGACACCATTCGTCCGCCGCGTCGCTATGTCGACTGAGAAGTGAGATCTTCAGTCCGCATGTCACCAGGTGATGGGGTGAAATGTAATTGTTCTCTCTGTGGTGCATGCGTCTTCAAGACTTGCTACAGTTGAGTGTTGGTACGTCGTTTTCTTACATTTACGTAATTAGTTCCGTTCCTTGCTGCATTCCACGATACTGTGGAAGTCTACGTTGCGTCCAAGCAACTCCACCCTGTCGATCTTTGTTCTGCTTCTTTCTATTATTATTATTATGACTTCCCTTGATCGTTTGTTTGAACTGTTCTCTTCGAAGATTTCAGTTTACTTTACGTTTATTTGTTCTTGAGACTGCATGCGTCCTGCGCCTTGTTCTGGCCGCGGCTCGTCGCCGCAGGCGAGGCTTCATGCAGTCCATGTGCGGTACTGTAATGCGCTGTGTTCAGCGTACACAGTGTACGACGCTGAGAGGGTCGTTTGTGCGCAGGCGTCGTACTTTTGCCACATCTTTCTTTCTCTCTAGCTCTGGAAGTGGCGGTTTTTGATTGCCGAGGTCTTCCGGTGGTGTCGTTCGGTTTTTCTTTCGGTTGCTCTCCCAATACAAGGTTATTTTACTCCTATGAATGTATTCTAACTTCTTCTACACCTAAGTGCGTGTTCCAGTTGGCTGGTCTGTGCGTGACAGCGTGGGGAACCGGAGTAGGGGAATTAGTCTACATGAGTCTCTAGCGAACCGTGAATGTTTTTTCTAGAATTATGAAGCCCCGGATGCCAGACCACTTGGAATCACAGTCCTACATCGTAGACGTGATCAGGGTTGTGAGTGGCTTAGTCTGTCTGTTTTCCAGCATTTTGGCGGCTTTTCCCAGTACATGTACTTGATAAGCACGTTTTGCTATTGTTAGCGAGTGACGAGTGCGACCATAACAAATAAGTGACAAGTAATTGGCATGATTGTTTCACTCCTATGTTTCAGCGGTGTGTTTTGATTATTGTTGCCTTGTTCTTTCTTCTAGGTATGGGACAGTTCTCTGGGCAGTCCAGTATTGCAGCTTGGTGCCAAAGCCTGCAAGGCACAGATGACACTAACTCATTCAAATGGCTGTAAGTCACTACAATTATGCTCTACATTGCAGATTTATGACCAGGGACTGTGCACATGTCATGTATTATACCGGTCTACTGTAAAACTTTCTCGGATAAGACAAATCCCTGGGGACTGGAGAAAATTGTTCGTGGTATCCGAAATTCAAATGGGCAATGTTCTTTTTAGCGATGCGGTGACTCGTACTATGCTGTGTGTTATTACTGTAGTGTATGTGCTGATGATACACTCATGGATATTTCTTACGTCATCATTGTCGTATTGACGTCACACCATGCGCAGATCATTTTAGTATGTCTGCCTTTTTGTATTGACACACGTGTCTCCTTGTTCTTGTTCCGTTGACATAATTTACTTGCAATTGTAGTTGGTCTTCTTCTAGTCTCCATGTAATCGATCATAGAATAAACCGAACCCCGTCTCTAGCTGAGACACTACAATTGGCGACGAAGATGGCCGTGGTCATAGGAGCCATCGAGCCGTTTGCTGCAGGTACGACGGATTGGTCTACCTATTATGATCGCGTGGAACAATATTTTGAGGCAAACAGCGTTGCGGAAAACAAACAAGTAGCAACTTTCCTGACGCTGATCGGAGGAACGACATACAAGCTGTTGGCTGACCTGGTCAGCCCAAACAAACCAAAAGACAAGATGCTCAAGGATTTGTCAGACGCCCTGGCCGAACATTTCGCGCCCAAGCCTCTCGTGATCGCGGAACGATACCGTTTCCACAAAAGAGAGCAATGCCAGGGAGAGTCTGTGCACGCTTACCTTGCAGAGTTGCGACGGTTGGCCAGATACTGTGAGTTTGGCGATGTCTTGGACACTACGTTGCGTGATCGTTTCGTGTGCGGAATACGGAGCCAAGCTCTTTGTAAAGTACTGCTGGCGGAAAAAATCTCACCCTGAAAACTGCGATAGAGAAGGCCAGTAGTCTGGAAGTGGCAACGCGCGATGCCTCGGAGCTCGCAGGAAGTGTACCCGCTGCTGGGGTACATGTTGTGGAAAGGCCACAACATCGCCGTGCATCTGCTGGCAAGCAAAGTCAAAGTCAATCCAGTGTGCACCAATCGTCCTGTTTCCGCTGCGGATCAGAAGCACACCACCCAAGTGAGTGCCCATACAAGTCCTATGAGTGTCGACACTGCAGGAAAACGGGTCACCTTCGTAAGGTTTGTAAACAGCGTTTCGCAGGAAAGTCGAAGTATGCAGCGAAAGGAAGTCCGAGTGGCCACGGTGCGTGCCATAACTTACCTGTCTCAGATGATGATGATTTCGACTTTGATGATGACTTCGACACGCTTGCAATTTTGACGGCCGATGTCTTGCAAGCACCAGCAGCAGTTGAGGATAAGTCACCGACATCCAATGTACGGAAAGCCCTGTGGATCGATGCAACTGTCAATGGCCAGTCCATACGCATGCAGATTGACACAGGAGCTGCAGTGTCTATTATCCCCACTCACATCTATAAGAAGTTGCTGTCCAGTACCTCGCCACTTACCCAGAGCAAGTTGAAGTTGCGAACATACACTGGAGAACCTGTACGGCCTCGCGGAACGTTTGCGGCGCTCGAGGAGTACAACCACCAGTCGGCAGAGTTGCCGATTCATGTAGTGGACACATCGGGTCCTCCGCTATGTGGCCGAGATCTGCTGGCCCATATTGCTCTTGACTAGCATCGTTTGTTCCAGGTCGAGACCGAGGAGCCCCCCAGTGTAACTGCGTCCTCTAGCTCGCTGCCCACCGGACCAGCCGGTAAGCGCCTAGAGCAGCTGAAGGAGAAATTCTCGGACGTTTTCAGTGACGACTTTGGCAAGCTGAAGGACGCCAAGGCTCGCCTACAGCTCAAAGATGGTGCACGTCCACGGTTCCTCAAGGCTCGCCCCTGCCCTACGCCATGCGGCCTAAGGTGGAAGCCGAACTGGACAGGTTAGAGAACCTTGGTATTGTTAGCAAGGTCCAGTGGAGCGAGTGGGCACCCCCAATTGTGCCAGTTATCAAGCCCAATGGCTCAGTGCGTCTCTGTGGCGATTTCAAGGCCACATTGAACCCGCAACTGAAGGTGGATCAACACCCTCTTCCACGTGTAGAAGATGTGTTCGCTACTCTGGCTGGAGGACAACGCTTCACCAAGATCGATCTGAAACAAGCGTACCTCCAGATGGGAATGAAGGAGGAATCAAAGCCACTTCTCACACTGACAACGCACAAGGGCTTGTCGGGGAATCTCAAGCACGCACACAGAGTGCACTCGACACAACGAACACCTACTCAGTTCATATGGTTTACAAAGTTGAATGCATGATAGGATTAAAGTAACGGGAAGAGAAATAGAAAGTCGAAGCTGTCTTCATGCCATTGCAATAATAATTACAACCACTGAACACCGCGTGGTTGACAGCTCTATCTGCTCAGGGGGTGCATGCATGCGTGCACAGCACACCCACACGTAATGAGTCTGAAGCACATGCCAGTACGTAATATTAGGACGTGACGTGGCAACGTGATACTAGTACATGCCCCCTACACAATTGTCACTAAAAATGAGGAGAAGAAGATAAAAAACGACTTTAAAAAACAGTACCAATTATCGCAGAATAGGAGCCAATAAATTGAGAAAACAAAACAAAAGAACCAAATTTATGACACACACTATTAAACGTCAATCGTCAGAGACGGCCAAAACACGAATTAGAGTCACGAGTCGGACCCAAACTCGGACAAAGCAGAGAACATAGTGGTCTCAAGAGCCATACCTACTGGGCTCACGGAGCAGGGCTCTGTCGCGGAGAAGACGACCACCAGCGGTGTCATCAGGTACACCAGCCAAAGGCACATGGTCCAACGGCTCGTCATCGATAATACTAGCTACATCTAGTGGCTCAGGGATACGACTGGAATGACTTCCAGCAGGCTTCAGCAGCTCTGTGTTGACGAGTTTTTCTGCTGTGCCACGGCCAATCACGACAGTTGAGGGACCAACGACTCGCTTGACGATCCAACCTTCTTCGAATTCGGGGAGTCGTTTCTGGTGCCGGTGTGGACGGCGGAAGAGAACAGACTCTCCAGCCGAGAACGCTTGAGTTGGCTCCTCGACAAAATCGCAGGACGACAACTCTGATTCCAGGAGATCGTACATGGCTGAGGCGCGACGCTGTATTTCCTCCGTCCAGCGGGGAAACGACCAATCTGTTGGGGTAGCATCCACCACGAGACTGCGGGGCTGCCAGCCAATCATTGCTTGCATAGGTGAGACACCGGTGACACTGTGGGGCCTGTTGCGGTAGAAGTACAGGAGCATAGCTAGGTCGACCTGCCAATCACTGGACTCGTCGAGGACCTTCCGCACCAAGGTCAACAGCGTTTGGTTGAACCGTTCTGCGGCACCTTGCGATTGGGGGTGGCGAACTGCGCCATAACACACGTTGACCCCAAATACCTTGTAGAGGGATGACATCAGGGCATTGTGAAGCTCGGTGCCGTTGTCGGAGCGGATAACATGGGGAGGACCCCACCGAGTGCACACACTAACAAATGCATCGGCGACAGACTCAGCATCATGGCGAACAAGTGGGACGACCTCCACCCACTTGGTGAAGGTGTCAATGCAGACAAGAACGCAGTGATATCGGCCAGACTTGTTGGTACCAAGCTCGAGCGTGTCAATTTGCACAACATGCCAGGGACCATCGGGAGTTACAGGTCGCGTTGGTTGCGGTAGACAAGGTTGAGCAGGATTTGCCGCACGGCAGGTAGTGCACTCTGACACGTAGTCACGGCAGCGCTGTGCCATACCAGGGAAATAGCATTGGCTACGGAGTAGACGCCACATACTTTCCCAACCAGCGTGACCACTCACAGTATAGGCGACTGCAAGTGCATCGGCAGTAAGACTCTGAGGAAGGGCAGGCACAAGCTCAACATCGTTGAGAGGCGATTTCACGCTGCGAAACAGCACGTCATCCTCAATCACCAGCTGGGTTCGGACTCTGCTGTAGCTGGAGTTGGGAATCGGTTCACCGGAGAGAAGCTGGGCCTTAACGGACGAGATCTCCTCGTCAGCAACTTGGGCAGTGGCGATGTCACCCATAGCAAGAGGTGGGAGAGCACGAACGGTAACACCGGCTGCTGCAACATCAGGCTGTGGCTTCTTAGGACTGTCCGGCACACGGAACCAGGTAGGGACACGGGTTAGCTGATCCGAAATATTGTCCTCTGAGCGGACCCATTCAACGTCAACTGTAATGCCAGATACAGTGATCAAATCGTCGATGATCTGCAAACGACGCTGAACCAACGTAGCGTGAAGGCCACTCACTTTAACACGACGAATGTTGTTCAGCAACTGCGTCAACCAGCCATGGACTGTACGCGAATCAGTGTACAAGACCACGTTCTTCACTGGCCAACACAGAGCGAGGTTGAGCGACTTGATGACGGCGTCTAACTCTGCTATGTTGATATGACGCTTATCATCGGAAGGTCTGAGCCAGGACTTGTCTTCGACGATATCGCCGTTGACTTCCAGAACCGCACCCATGGCCAGGCCAGAAGCATCGCACCAAACGTGCCACACTGTGGTGTCATCACAGGGCACAGACCAGACACCATGCACAGG